CCTTTTTAGACTGAAGAGCACATTAACACAGATACTTAAAAGAACAGAACATAAGAAAATGCCTTGAAATAAACCCAAACTGCAACAAACAAAGATTTCTGTCTCAAAGAACCTAATCCACAGGGTAATAATGTAACCTCCAAAAAATGGATGTGATAAAAATGATCCAAAGAACCTCCCACTGACAGACATTTCTGACTTCCTATTGTAAAATTGATAATGGCATGATTCGCTCATTTAGCTTCAAATGTATTATCAACACAGAAATACTTTTGCTTATTGGTCTCTTCACCAGAACTTACCAAATATTTGTGCGTATTATGTGACTTTTATGTGCATGTTTTTTCATATATATATATATTTTAAAAATATATATTTTATTGAGTTTTTTACAGAGAAATAAATTTTTAATTGATTTTTACAAAGAGAAAGAGAGAAACATTCTGCACTCCTCCTACCAGGAACCAAGCCCAGACCCAAGCATGTGACCTCTTGGTTCCTGCATCGATGCTCAACTGCGGAGCAACACCAGCTGGCCTATCGGCATGTTCTTTTATCCAGGTTGATAAAAAATTGATGTCACTGGATCATGGTGAGATAGAATTTAAGATGAGAGGGACTGAGGGAAGGCCCGGGTTGAGTGTGAACAAACAAATGTCAGGTGGGACAACTCGGTCAGAGAATATCAAGTCAAAGGGCATTTCAGGAAGGACGGACACAAGCCACAGAATATGACTTTACCTGAGGAACAGCCACTACTGAACCCTTTCCTCTTCCTCCTCTTCTGGGCTTCTGCCTCAGGCAACAAGAGAGTTTAGCAGCGAATGGACAGATGAAAGTATGCCATTTACCAACACACCCCCTTTCCTGCGCCGCCACCATCCACAGGATTCTCCTCACGGCCACAGGAGGGGTTTAGGGGCAGTAAACAGCCGAGACGAGTGAGTACCCCACTTTAAAAAATATATATTTTATTGATTTTTTACAGAGAGGAAGGGATAGGGATAGAGTTAGAAACAGCAATGAGAGAGACACATAGATCAGCTGCCTCCTGCACACCCCCTCTACGGGGAATGTGCCTGCAACCAAAGTACATTCCCTTGACCGGAATTGAACCTGGGACCCTTGAGTCCGCAGGCCAACACTCTATCTACTGAGCCAAAGCTGCTAGGGCCCCTTCCCACCCTTTTCTTCAAATCTTGTGCGCGTGTGGACACACACACACCTACCAGCGGTAGGAACCTTTGCAGAGCCAACACTCCCCTTCTGGTGTCAGGCACCTGGGGAAACAAACCTGAGGAGCTGAAACTTACACTTCCTCCATATTCCTCACTACAGTACCAAAACATGGAACTGAATTCCTATGAATGATCCGGATCCAATAGTTTGTCCGGAATAGAACAAAACCATAACGCCCCTGGGCCAGATAATGAGAACTAGAGACAAAATATCAGGAGATTCTTATACGTATGGATGCTCCATGGGAATGTCAGGAAGTAGAGTAGAAGAGTATCCAATAGCTAGTTTCTTTAATCATTGTGTGATCCTTCGCATTGGCCCATGCCAAGCATCTGATATTTACCAGCTTGTACAATTTACAACAGTACATTGGAGAAGCAATGAATGTGGGGCTTTCATTTCAATCTCTGCTAGCTTCCTGTCCCTGGAACTTATAGTGATGGCTTGGAAAACACAGCAAGAATAACTATTGCCTATAAACATACCTGTGGTCATGCTATCACTATACAAAATAACTTTGGATGCAAAATAATATTCTTCAACTGCAAATCTGCCACGGTCTCTGCGGTTGCTCTAGAAAGAATGACCAACATTCAACTACATTCAAGTAATTGAGAATAAAATCAGTTTTACGCCAGTTGATTCTACCCCAAGAAAAAAGTTAATGAGGTTACACTGAGAAATTCTTCAGGGTTCCAATGAAAATCAGGACAAGAAAAATCACTCCAGTTATAAAGTACACAGAAGCCAATTTATATTCCAAAAATTAGTAATATTCAAAACGTTAGAATCCTGCTAAAAATAGAATGGTGGGCTTCCTACTTCATGAATGTAAAGTTATATATTTGCCAAATTCTGATGTCAGTTACATCGTTAGCAAAATTCCAAAGTAATGAACATAAGTTACAGGGGCCTGAAGGGCTGATGTGGGGGAGGAAGTTTAGATGCCATTGTTATAGCACAGAGAGGAAAAGAGATGGGGCTATAGAAACATCAATGATGAGAGGGCATCACTGATCGGCTGGATCCTGTATGATCCATACCTGGAATTGAGCCCCCAACTGGGGCTTGTGCCCTGAGCAGGAATTGCACCCTGACATCCTGGTTCAAACATCTAAGCTAAACCACTGAAGCAAGCCAGTCAGTGCTTTCTCACATTTTGTATAGTTTAAAGCTTTCCCCTACTATAAGAATCTGATATCCATTATGTCTACAGGTATAGGATCTTGCACATGCTCTGCATGTTAAAGGTTTCTCCTTCAGTATGAAGTCTCCCATATATAGTAATACATGAATGGATTTCAAAGGCTTTACTACATTTTTCACATTCATAAGGCTTGTTCACAGTCAGAATTCTGTGATGTTCAGTAAGTTCTCACTGCTGGTCAAGGATTTATGACACTCCACATATCTGTAATACTTCTCTCAAGTATGAACTCTGCTGTACAATAAGGCAGAAACACTGATTAAAGGCTTTGTTACATGCTTACATTTATAAGGCTCCTATCCAGTATGACCTCTCTGATGTGCAGTAAGGTTTGAGGAGCTGCCAATGGATGTGCTACATTCTCTTCATTCATGTGGCTTCTTTCTATTTGGATATGAACTTTCTTATGCTTAGCAAGTTGTGAGGACCGTCTAAAGGCTTTACCACATTCTCTACATTTAAAAGGCTTCTCTCCAGTATGGACACTCTGGTGTCGATTAAGGGAAGAGGAAGATGTAAAGGCATTGCCACATTCTCTACATTTATAAGGCTTCTCTCCAGTATGAACTCTCTGATGTTGATTAAGAGAGGAGGAAGCACTAAAGGCTTTGCCACATTCTCTACATTTATAAGGCTTCTCTCCAGTGTGAACTCTCCGATGATGATGAATAGAGGAGTAACCAGTAAAGGCTTTGCCACATTCTCTACATTTATAAGGTTTCTCTCCTGTATGAATTCTCTGATGTCTATTAAGAGAGGAGTAATCGCAAAAGGCTTTGCCACATTCTCTGCATTTATAAGGTTTCTCTCCTGTATGAATTCTCTGATGTCTATTAAGAGAGGAGGAATCGCAAAAGGCTTTGCCACATTCTCTACATTTATAAGGCTTCTCTCCAGTATGAACTCTCTGATGCGTAGTAAGGTGTGAGAATGATATAAAGGCTTTGCCACATTCTCTGCATTTGTAATGTTTCTCTCCATTATGAATTTTCTGATGTCGATTCAGATTTGAGGCAGAAAGGAATCCTTTACCACATTCTCTACATTTGTAAGATTTTTTTCCACTGTGGATTTTTTTCTTGAATATTTGACTGGAGATTATACCACGAGGATTCCATTTGTCAGCTTTCTCCCCAGGATGAATATTTTCTTGTTCAGCGTAATTTGAAGACGGTTGAAAAGACTGGACGCATTTATTTCCGTTGTGTTTCTTCTCGACAATAGGAATAACCTCACGTATTTTGT